GAAAATGAAGTTGCTATCCTATCAAGGAGAGGAACACTGAAGACACTATACACCAGGGCAGATTGGGCTGCTTTACACTGGGCTTAAAATCCAACCAGAGAGACTCTCAACTGGTATTTACAGGAAATCCTCCTGCCTATGTACTAAGTGGAAACCAAAGAAAAATATCTTCTAGATATTATCGTCAATGATGTCAGGAGCACTCTACACAATTTTATGTATAGTATCCAGCAGTCAATCTAAAATCACTTGATATTTTCAGGAAATATAGTCAAATGATGTAAAACAAAACCTATTCAACAACAAAACGAGACAATATGACCCATAGATTATTTAGATATTAGAGTTTTTAGACACTGTGCCAATATACATAATTGACTAATGTGTAAAAATACATAAAAAGCTCGAGAGCTGTTTAGGAGAACTTGGATCTATAGGAAATCATCAAGTGAAAATTTTAGAACTAAAAAGTAGTACTAGTAATTCAAATTTAAAAGTTAGTAGAAAGCCAATGATAAAGAATTAAAGCCCTAAAAGAAATTCTATAAATTGAAACTCAGAGAGGAAAATGGTAAACAGATAAGAAAACATCTTGAGAAATGTTTAATTGGTTAGATTATTTAATTAAAATTGCTAATGATATTGGAGTACTAGAAGAACAGAAAGAAACTGAAATGGAAATAGTATTCAAAGAGATAATATCTGACCACCTTTCAAACTGACAAAATTTACCAATTCTCAGATCAAACAGGTTTTATAAACTCTAAACAAAATAGGTTTAAAGAAGATTATGTCTAGACCATGGCAAAGTGATACAAACCAAAGACAAAGTGAAAAATCTTTAAGTCAGACAGTGGAAAAAAGATTTGTTATCTGAAAAGTATGATAATAAGACAATATGGTATCTCATCAATATAAAATCATGCAGCATGAAATATTGGCATTATGATATCTTTTAAATGTTAAAGAAAATAGTTGTTAACTTAAAGTTCTAAATTTGACAAAAATATCATTTGAAAAGTGTAGATGTAATTCTGAACAGTTTCATTAAATAAGAAACACAGAAGCCAAATGCAGAGTTAAAAGCCCAGAGATCAGAGTGTAGATCTCATTCTAAACAGTCTTATTAAATAAGAAACACAGAGCCAAATGCAGAGTTAAAAGCCCAGAGATCAGAGAGCAGTAGCCAAAAGCTGAGACCACCTTCTTACCACCCGCTGCCACTGCCGTCCTTCCCCTGAGAAAGAGACCTACTTCCTGTGTGTCTTTTTATTGACTTTCTGTTCTGCCTTCTCATTGGTTGTAAACCCAACCACATGAACTCCTCATCACTGCCTGTCTATACAGACCTCCAGGTCTCTATGGTTGGTATTGAGATTAAAGTTATGTGTCTCCATGCTGGCTGTGTCCTTGAACACACAGAGATCTGCCTGTCTTGTGATCAGGATTAAGGGTGTGTGCTACCACTGCCAGACTTCTGCTAAATGGCTTTCTATTAGCTCTGACTCCCAGGCAACTTTATTTATTAGCATACAAAGAAAATCACATTTCAGCACAAATAAAATATCACCACAGAAAAGGAAAAATATAAAATATTCTCAGACAAATAAAATCAGAGATAATTTACATGAGTGCTGAAAGACATCCTGGAAAAGGTTAGGAAGCAAGAAGAAAACAATCTTGGTTAGAGACAGAAAAAGTAGCTGATGATGCTAGAGAGAGTAAAAATATCAAAAGCATACAGCAATGCCTTTAGCTTTATTTATATGTAGAATTAAAATGTAACAAAACTATTACAGAAGACAAAAAAGGGACAAGAAATTAAAGCATTTAAAGATCTCCCTTTTCCTCTGTTGAGAAAAAGCATGATTTCACATCATGCTAAGCACAACATTAAAAGCCATGTTGTCATCTTTAGATTCTTTTATGTCTAAAGATTGATTGCTTAGGAAGATAGTAACAAAGTGAGGCTGGAGCGTTGGCTCAGTGGTTAAGAGGGCATACTGCTCCATTGCAGAGGACCCGGGTTCGGTTCCCAGCATCTACTTCATGTTCTCTCAACAGCCTGTAACTCCAGCTCCTGGGATTCTGACACCCTCTTCTAGATGCTGTGGGTACCCATACTCATGTGCAAATATCTACACACACACACACACACACACACACACACACACACACACACACACACACACTCAATTTAAAAAATCTAAACAGAAGAAACTCTGAAGAAGAAAACCTAATATAGTGATTACATTAACATTAAATGGACTTTTGGCCCCAGGGCAGACTAAAAGGTTGTCAAACTCACAATAAACCCTGTTACCTGATGTTCACAAGAGACCAATGTTAAATCTAAGAATACAAATGGTTAAAGTGAAAGTATAGGGAAGTAAAATAAATACCATGCAAATACTAATCCAAAGGAAAACAGTTTTCTAACATCATATGAAGTACACTGTTAGGTGGCAGTATCAGAAACAAATAAAGCTAGTTTCATAAAAGAGTAAATTCAATTAGAAGATGTAATGGTGATGAATTTGGACGTGACCATTCACATGCCCTGAAAAAAATACTCATAAATATATATAAACAGACACAGTCAGAGCTGGTGGTTTTAAATAATTTTCTCAGAAAAGATATGACAAGTAAACATTCAGTAGAATATAGAGATTTGAGAGATATGATTAAAAATTTGACTCAATTAGCAGAATCAATCTGTGTCTTTACACAGAGCAGAACACACGTTCTTTTCATATGCCATGGAAAGTTATCAAAGGAGTTCATGACCACAAAGTAATTTCAGAGGATGGAAGTCATAAAACTTTTCTCTCTCATCTCATTGTAAATAAGCTGGAAATCAAATAATAAGACAATAAAAATGAGGAACCCCCTGAGTATTTAGAAATTAAGCAATATACTTCTAATTAACCATAGGCCAAATTATAGTGGAGACAGGAAGCTATTTTAAATGATTATAACAACATGTTATACAAAAATTGTTGTGCATATGGAGACACAAGCAAGGGAAACTTACAGCTTTACTAGAAAAGAAGAAAGTCTGCATATCAAGTCAGCAACAAATAGCATATTAAACTCAAAGAAGGGCATAAGTGTTAAAACCAAGACAAGAAATAAATTTGTTGAAAATGAACTTCCATTAGAAAATAATGAACAGAGCTAAAGGTTTAGAAGAGAGAAAACAAGTCATAGGGGGAGTGGATTGATAAGTTCCTAAAAAGACAAAGTCATCAATAAAAACAATGACAGAAAAGGAATCTATTCTATCATAAAAAAATAAAAGAGGTGGACTGGGCATGGTGATGCATGCCTCTAATCCCAACACTCAATAAGCAAAGCAAGGCAGATAGATCTCTGTGAGTTCGAGGCCAGCATGGCCTGCACAGTGAGTTCCACACCAGCCAGAACTGCAGATAGCTTCCATATAGCTTTAACAGGTAATGGTTATTTTCAACTAATGGTTTTGGAGCAGTTGCATACCCACAGGGAACAGATAATGACCTCAGTTTGAACTTTGCAATGGATAGAGAAATTGAGTCAAAATAAACCATAGACTTAAGTGTAGAAAATGAAAGTATAAAACACCTAGTAGAAAATATGGGCAAAAATTTTTGGGACAGGGCTAAGCAAAAAGTGCATATATAAGATAGCAAAAACATAGTTTAGCAAAATAAAAACTCACCAGCAATATAAAAATCATTTGCTGACAAAGAGTCTGCTGAGATGCACAAAGAAACCACAAGCTTGTATAAAATAATAAAAAGCACACATCTGGGAAATGGCTTCTATTTAGAACACACAAATTCTCCAACCTCAGTAGTAAGAGAAAAATTGGACATTTCAGTTAGATATGAGCAAAGATAAAAACAGACATTGTGTAAGAAGAATGCAGAGATAAAGAATAATCACAAGAAATAAAGTTTCACCTCGTTAACTACTAGAGAAATGCAAGTTAAGACAGTGAGCTGTAACTACACTCCTACCCGAAAGACCTAGCATAATAATGCTGCATGCTAGGGAAGGGCTAGAAAAGCTGCTGCGTCTGCCATACTTGCTAGTGGAAAACTGAGAATGACATAGCCACCCTGAATAATTTGCAAATTTCTTGTGAATATAAGAATGCCCTGCTAGGTGGTAGCACACGCCTTTAATCCCAGCACTTGGGAGGCAGAGGCAGGTGGATCTCTGAGTTCAGAGAGAGTTCCTAGGACTGGGATTAAAGGCATTTGCTACTATGCCTAGCAAGGAGGAAGGTTTTTAATAATGGGCTGGGTCTATATTTTGAGTGTGGTAGTAGTTATATAATTTTATACACACACACACACACACACACACACACACACACACACACATTATACTTACAGAGAGCTGCACATGTGCATGCATACACACAGGTGTAGGATTTGGTCTGAAATGTCTACACATAAGGAGAAAAGTGTGCATACAGTAGGTGTGCTGTGGATGCTCCCAGACAGAGGTGGTGTTTTACTTTAAAGACAGTGGCTGCCCCTTAAGCAACTTCTGTCCCAGTCAGCAATTCCAACTTCTGCAGCTACCAGTAGCGGCTAGGCCACATCACATGGGCCACAGCCCGGCCTGAATTCTGTTCCCTCAGGCACTGGCTCTATCATAAACTTTATCTAAATCTCTGACCTTCTCTAGAACTCAGGATTCAAAGGTCCAGGTGAAATTCTGCTGGTTTAGAGAGACTGAATAGCAAGTAGCTAACCTTCTCTCCTAGCTCAGGTCTCTTGAAAAAAAAAGGGGGGGGGGCGTCCTTCTGATCAGCGCGCCCCACTTAAGAACTCTAGCTACACATGGTTCCTCCCTACCACTTCCTACTTCCTGTCAGTTAGTTGCTGACTCAGCCTCCTGACCCCAGGTTAATTTTATTTAATCAAACAAATGTAACACATCTTTATATTGTTAACAAAAGCAGCAGGAAAAAATGTACCTTTACACTGTTAAAATAACATTCCACAATCGCTTCTCGGCCTTTTGGCTAAGATCAAGTGTAATAACATTCCACAACACAGAGGGACAGGTAATAAGTTAGTGGAGGAATTACATTTCCATGTAATGATACAAGAAATGTTTATAATTTATCTCCTGAAATTTTGGCTCGCCATATGTTGCAGAAGCAGCTATGGATATTTATATTTTGTTCTTAAAACTTTTAAGGAATGAGAGTGCTCTCCTGCAATGTGGTTTTTAATGTGCTTTTCAGGAGATGGGGCTGACCAGCTCACAGCTCTGAAATAAGAATGAAATTGCTTGTGTATATATTTATTGTTTCTTATTCGATCATAATTGTGATTTAAAAAGAAAATACCAGTACAGACAGCTGGCATGTCATGATAGAGGAAGACGTTGTGGATTTTCTGGACAGCCTTCCTAAGAGTCTAGGTAGGCTTATGTTTGGATCAGTGTGCAACAGCTCATCGTGTTTAAGGTGATCTCAGTGGCCCACATCTAAGCACACCAGCCTTAGCATTGGAAAACCAAATGCGGTCTCGATGACCAACGACTTTACTCTATGGAAACCCCAAGCTTCATCCTGCATTGCCATCAACACTATTTCTCCCATCCAGTATGATTTTGTCTTTCTAAGTCTATGCTAATGGAGGCAAGGAACTTTTATAAATAACATGTGCATTAAAATAATGGATTCAAAGATGGAATATCTGGCTAAATGATAAGCCAGCACATCTATAAGTCACTAATATGATAACCACAACCCTTCATTCATTCGTGTGTGCATGCATGCAATCATTTGAAGACCAATTGGTGAATCTGTTCTCTGGCAATACAGACCTAGAAGAATACAAGGACAGAACAAAGCACAGCACCGGTGGGAGACAGACGTGTCACACATGCTTTTGCCATTGTGTCATAGAGCAACACAGAGGGCTAGCCCTCTTGACAGGCCCATTGAGAGAAAGTGCCAAATGCTTCCCAAAGCATCAGGGGTGGTATTCGCAGACAGCTGACACCTGAAGTGAGCATTGAAGGACAGATAAGGCTGGTGTTTGCTTGGCAGACCTTGGCAGTGAAAAACTGAGAGATGCCTTGATGGACAGCTGGTAAAGTCTGGCTATGCTTGGAGGTAGGATGAACTCTGCATGGCTTCAGCCAGTACTCCCCAGACATATTTTTTCCTTTTGTGTCCCCACAAAGATTTACAAAAACATCTGTGCTTCTTCACATGCTCTTAGAGTAACATGAAAAAACTTAATCCATAAATTTAACTAGTAGCAAGCAATGCAGCACTGATAACTCACTTAAATTATGAAGTGCTGAGCATTTCTTTCCAGTTTAATTGTCATTTCAAAGGATTACTTTCTACAGTTGGATAAAAAAATTACATTGTTTAATCATTAATGAACAAAAATACACAGAACATTATATTTCAATGAGATAAATGTGGTTCCACACACCAAGATCAGTTCTTATGCATGTGGATGGGTAGTAAATATTACTATAATTTAGCGTGTTTAATAATCAGTTGTATTGCTTGTTTTACAAATTTCGTTCTTTGTTGTGGACAATATGTTTTGGGGAAGTGTATGGTAGCCAGTAACTGGAAATAATTATATAGATACCTACAGACCAGTCCTGATCTCCCTGGTTTATAAGGGAGATCATATAACATTCAGCCCTAAAAGTTTTACAGAAACATTTAAAAGTCATTTCAACCAGTACCCTTTACCCCAGTTGCTAAGTTTCTTTTTCAATGAAATGGCTTTGGGAATCATTCTTTTTGCCATGAGCTACTTCGGCGATCTAGCATTGGGTCTGGGGAAAACCAGTGAGAACTTGGGAACATCACATCACTCTGGAAGCTTGACTTTCCACAGCTGAGATCTGTCTTTTCCTCAGCAGCTTCTCTCTCCCTTTTCTCCCTCTGTAGCCTCCCCAAGACCACACAACGGCTCTGCCTTACTGTTTTAGCTTGTTCCTCATAATCAAAGCTGAAAGGCCTTCTAAGTAGGCACATCTGTATTCCCCCTGCGAGTCCATGAAGGAACAGCTGTGCCACACATGGTCACCAGTTGCTAAATGCAGAGAGTTCCATTCATTCTGCGCCACATTTGAAGTTCGATTGTACCAGCCCTGTATTGAGCTCAGTTCTCAATGTACACATGCAAATATGCAGCAAATATAAATGTATTCCACGTTTACACATGCAATGTACACATGTATGTGTAAGCAATGTACACAATGTACACATGCAAATATGCAGCAGATATAAATGTATTCCATGTTTACACATGCAATGTACACATGTATGTGTAAACAATGTACACAATGTACACATACCAACATGCAGCAGATATAAATGTATTCCACGATTAGCCTTAATTTCTGTTTTGAATGCCCGTGTTTGTGAATAGTAGAAATTTACTCAGGTGAGTCTCATTTTACTTGGGGCTTTGTCTAGCCAGGGTGATGGTTCGTATATCCTGACTCCAGAGGGACCACGATCTATTTTGTTCTTAGTCACCAGGTGAGGCTGACCGCCTGAAATAACCATCATTCTCATCACAGGGTCACACTCATGGGGTCACTCGAGTGAGTTAGGTGTCACCTTTTCTCTTTGTGTTACTCCTGCTCCCATTTAACCTCACTTTCTCTCTACCCAGCCACTCTTGTCTAGAACTGGATCATTTCCTCAGAAATTCACCTCTAGAAGAGGAAAAATCCATCTGCTATCAGATAAACCTGCCTTAAATTTTGATACTCAAAAGACAGGGTGATCAACTTTATTGGATTCACTGCCATCTACATGTTCCCATCACTTATCTTTTATGTTCATTCCTTCAACTTATGGTCTTCTCTAGGCTGATGTGGTGGTGGGGTATGTTGGTAGTGTGAAGGTAAAGATGATGGTCTTTAATTTGTCATACTGGCAAAACCACAGTCCCTTCAAGAATCAGATGGCACAGACTCAGGAAAGAACCTCCTACTTCCTTGCTTTCAAAGGTCTGTTGTTTACCTCCTAGTGAGGTAAGATATGCAGGAGACTCTGGCATTCTTAGATGAAGCTTAGGAAAAACGTTAGTATTTTTAAAACTGTCCCCATCCCTTCACACTGTTGTTTCGGTTTCTCCTGAATCTGTCATTTATTGGCACCACTGCCATCTACATAGTTCAATACTTACCCTTTGCCAAATATGGCAAAAGAAAAGCAGGGCTGCATTTCTAGAACACTGGCCATCTCTAGGAGAGCATCAGGATAGGGAGAACTTGGTTGTTGGGGACAAAGCAAGTCTTGAAATTACACTGACATGATACCAGGGCTGGTCTGAGACTAGCAAAGGGTGACTCTCAACCCTGGGAGGCTGTCCCAGGTCTTTCGATATTTTTTTCTCAGGCACTGGAAATTATGTTTCGTCTTGTCTGACAACTTTGAGCCCTAAAGAATGAAGCCCAGTCAAGTGTTTCAGTGATGGGAAAAGGAAGGAAGAAGGGAGTGAGCTTGAATAAGGAGGGCAGGCAGAAGTTAGACCACTCAGCAATCTTCTCATCTAAACCCAATGCAGTGTGATTTCCTGTTCTCTGAAATATCTGCCTTGGTGTCCTGTAGAAATAGGGTGGGGTGAGTGGGATGTATTGCTAGCTTCTTGAGAGTAGGAGAGGTAAACTCAGATTCAACATTCTTCAAAAAATGTAATATTTTAATAATACTTTGAGAATCTCAGATAATGAGATTTTTATCATATTTATTCCCAACCACACTCTGCCTCTTCTAAGATCCACCCTTTATCTCTCACCCCTATTTTTTCTTTAATTATTTTTGTATGTATACATACATACATGTAAAAATATAAATACAACCATCTGACTTCATTTATTGTTGTTCCTACATATATGTTATCAGGCCTGAGTAGTTAGTATTGAATAACCCATTAGAAGATTCATCTTTGGGGAAGATGGATTCCCATTCTCTGAGAAGTTATTACTTGCCTATACCTTTCTGTCTGAGGTAATGCTCCATGAATTTTTCCTCACCTGTGTTGGCCTGTCAACTGGTGTTATCATTTTGAAGGTCTTGTTTAGGCAACCATAATGTTGAGATTTCGTGGGTGCAGCTTCCTGGCCTATATAGAAGACACAATATTGCAGTAGCTGTTCAGGTCCTCTGGCTCATACAGTTCTTCCATTCTTTCTCCCGAGATGTTCACTGATCCTTAGGTATTATTATAGATGTATCACATGGGGCTGAGCATTTCATGGTAGGTTGTTCTACATTTGTGGACAGTTGTGGAAAAAGTAACCCTCTTAACTCATTTATTGAACAGCTGAAGTGTGTTAAACACTTTTAATTTATTTTATCTAAATTACACTGATGTTAGTGTTAACATCCCTGCTTTGCAGGGAGTAACACTGAGTTGTAGGAGACCATATGGCTAATGACAGCTAGAATGTGGAAGAGCTAGATACCTTTCTGGCTGCTTCTCCCTGGATTCCAACCAACTTCATGTGCTTCTGCCCATAGTAATGGCTTTCTATCTCAGCTTTTAAAATACTGATTTGTGAACTCTACTCAGAAATATTTATATTTATTTGTTGAGGTTAGCATTTATAACTTCGTTTTTCACTCCTCTGGGTGATTTAATGTACATCTATGGCTGAGGATCTTGTCCCTCTCATACAGATATGTCTGGCTACTGGGTCTATAATGACCCATGATGGATGTTAGAGAAATGTTAACTGATTAGTTCTGTGGCTGTCTGTAGAAAGAAGGAAGAACATTATTAGATACCACCAAGTTAATTATAGACTATGTTTGTAGAGGCTGAGATGGACTATTGGGGTTTTTGTTAAAGAATGACTAAGGAAGACTGCTGTTCATCTCTTTCTCAAAGAGGTTTTCCAAACCTTAAATTACAGGTGGTGTCGTCCTCAACCCAGCCTATTACGGCATGCCTGGCCACACCAACATCATGATCCATGAGGTGGGACATGTCTTGGGACTCTACCATGTATTCAAAGGAGTCAGTGAAAGAGAATCCTGTGATGATCCCTGTAGAGAGACAGTGCCATCCATGGAGACAGGAGACCTGTGTGCTGACACCGCTCCTACACCCAAAAGCAAGCTGTGTCGGGACCCAGAGCCAGCTAACGACACCTGTGGCCTCACCCACTTCCCAGGGGCTCCATTCAGAAACTACATG